AATCTTGCGTCTGTTGTGGCGCCGATTTACAAGCAGGCTGCACCTGAGGCATTCAGCAATCAGGTTAATAACAATGATTAATAATTATTTCATTATTATTAATATTATTTGTGACACTCGTATGGGACATTGGTTATGTTATTAAGAGACATCCACCATTTTGATACTTATATCATGATGCGCTTCGCAAAAGCACATGACGTCATGAGACAAGATTATTTTAAAACGTTTCTATAATCAATAATACCATTATTGTTTTATTACAACTCTTCCTCAGATCAAAAATAAAAATGGATTTGAGTGTCGCATTGGCAACGAAAATGACGAACGACCTTTCTCTGGAATTACCTGCTGCATGGACTTCTGTGCGCATGCTCACAAAGACAAACGAAACATGGATGGTGGGGCAACAGTGGTGAGTTCTAGAATRATGCTATTAATTCATCGATCAAGGCTGTGCCTTAGGGAAATTCGTAGTTTACAACCGAATGCTAAGAATTCGATATATTTTTATTTTACTATATGATCAAGAAAATKTCTCTTTTAATAGGTGTGCACTTTACTCAAACCGGGAGAAGACGTCTCCATGGAACAGCTMCACGTTCTACCACATTATCAGCTCTTAGATCGAGATGGGAAGGTAGCGAAACCCAATTATGTCATGCCGTCTCATATGATGTCGCCGCCGGAAGGAGTTTCTCCTGTAGTGAAATCTGCTACCAAGGAAGAAAAGGAGAAAGAAAACAGCGCAAAAGCAACAYCAGAAGATAAAGAACCTTCTAAAAAGGAGAACTCGCCTCCATCAGAGAATCAGAATGGTCCTTACGTGAATGGTGGATKTAATGGTTACTATGGAGATCGGTATCCTAGTAACGGCATTACTCGTCCACCACCCTATGGRTATCCAAGCTCTGTTGTGCACCATCATCCAGCCTCAAATCACTTCATGAACGGGTTCTTAAACAACCATTATAACCCAAAATCGCTTCCATACTACCCCTACTTGGGAAATAACCTCTTCGTCGATCGACTCCGTTCCCCGGATGTTCGCTGGGTTGATGAAAATCATATTCCTTACTTATATCGTAACCACGGCAAYCATTTTCCCCAGCCGTTACCAATGGAGTGCGGGCCTGAGGAACATAAGGTACAATATCCTCCAGGGGCTTGGGGAGTTGCCMCTCATYCTATGAAACCACCTTATGAAGAACCACTTCGAAATGGGGTCCACGGTGGCGAGAGTACCAAACCCAAAGCGGTGATCCATCACTAYAGTGATGGTGGAGATTGGGGGAATCATCACTCGGAYATTAAGTACATTGACGAGAAAGATGTCCCACTTATGCGTGCAAATAGTCCTAACGTGCAAAATGAACAAGGACGGWGTGCACCTGTTAAGCGGTCGTTATCCAACGGCAAGCAAGCTTCAGAAACTAGTCCCCCGAAAAAGTTTTACAAGTTTGATGAGTCAATGGGTGGTGTTGCATTAGCATTAACTCACGGTTCACTTCTTATTGAGGTGGCYAAAAAGGAGCTACACGCTACAACGGCATTAAAGGAGCCGCAGAGGTATTCSCCAAAACGTATCAGTRTTGTATTTTATCAACACAAGCAGCTGAATACACGATTTCATGGCCTGGATGAATGGGAGCAAAAAATGGCCAAGAAAAAGCTTCAAAATGAAGAAGCTGCAGAAAAAGAAGCGGCTGTGGCTGCTCTCTCTAACGGGAATGTGGTTCCTCAAGAGAACTACCTGGAYATGTTGGCAGAGACAGCGCTATCGCACCATGATAACGTCGCGACGCAAGTGTCCAGCACGTGGAAAGTGGCTGGTGAAGGTTCCAATGAGCATCATTCGACCAAAACTACCGAGTATGAAAGAAATCACATAARTGATGAACGTATTGATTCCAAGGAATTTGAAAAGAATAACAATGTTATCTACAAGCAACCGCAAATAAGTGAAAAAACTCCAGTGACGAAGGAGTCGTGCGAGGGAGTATTTCCTGCTTTGTTACCGCCCAACACAAGAATTGATTATATGCAAAAAATGAACGCTGTTATTGACTCAAAAGATGCGGGWTTCCCGCGGGAACATTTCCAGAAATTACGGGAACTTCGGGAGAGTGACATTGTCAGACACCTCCATGGATGGCCAAAGGACCAACCAATGGTCAATGGCGTGACACCAAGGAGTGATGATTGTGTTACAAACCGTTCGATTATTGATGGACATAATGAGCGTGACCATCACRCACGTCTTGCTGAGACGGTGGATAATGATAATAAGGACARAACACGTGATCATAAATCCGTCAATTCACAAGTCCAAAGCCGTTCTGCCTCGAATTATAGTGTGTCAAGGCTCCTTGGCAATGATTCAGAAGAAAAGAAAACMCCAAGTACACCGCGCACAACGGCATCGTTGTCTTTTTGTATCAGTAGYATCCTTAGTAACAATACAAAACCTTCTGAGACAGAGCCAAAGCGAAACCCCACGCCTGAACGTCCTGCGGAGCCTATACAGAAGACGCGGTCTCCTCAAAGCACGGCTAAGCTGAACGGAGAATGCCCAGATCTATCAAAGAGACCTATATCTCTGCCTGCTCAACAACAAGAAAAACCCGCTTTCGTAGAATCTTCACCACACCCTGGCCATTTTGCACCCAATCATCAACAATTCCCGCGTCCTCCAGGGCACTTTTGTGGAGGGCTCCCTGATAAAKCATATTATGGAGCGGAGCACAGAATGCCATTTGATTTACATTCGGACCACGGACATCCATTGGGATATAGTCCCTATAAGTTTGGAGTGCCTTTTCCAACTCAACCAACATACTTCATGCCTTCGTTTCATCCTTTCTTGGCAGCTAGTAATGGACTTGCTTCGAATCTCGCGCTAGTKAACTCAAGGAACTATTTGTCGAGTCTTGCGAGTAGCTATACAGGGCATGGAAAACGCATCGATGGGGAAGCTTTGCATACTCCTATAACAACTGCCACAAGAACRGGGCTAAGTTATCCTATAGATAGTCTAATCACAGTCGCGCCATACTCACAAACCTGCGTAACCGGTCATTATCAAAATTGGATGTAGAGGTTTGTTTATTGGATTATATAYAGTGCGAATAAGATACTCGTGAAATAGAAAGAGTGAAGGCATTAAATACGTGAAACAGAATGTAATGATCAAGGTGTAATTGTCGGACGWAAAAACTATCGAATTGGCGAATACCTAATCATTATATCAATTAAATCAATATATATTTATTCAATGGTTTTCGTTTGTGCATGTCAGACCAATCAAGTCATTTCACATTTAATTTCCCTCTGACATTGAAGGTTGACCACGCCCTTTGCATTGAAGTGCGACGACGGTGAGCATGCAATGATAGAAACCGTCTTTCATTGACCGATATAGACAGTTATTAATTTACAGGTACATATATCTATCATTGCTCAACGTTCGTCTTKCTTCGATGCCAAGGTACAGCTAACTTSAGATGGGGCTGGGAACCGTATTTGGTTTCGTAGTAGTTGGTAATGGTGTTCAAACTCATTTTGTAGTTCGTTGCTTACCATTTGCTATTTTGACTATAGTTACATCTTGATTTTTATATTTTTTTCTCGGGTTAAATGTCTTCACTCAATTTGTTTTCAAAACCGTTGTCTTCAATGGATTCTAAGTGTTAGTAAGTACTAGCTTGTACAAACGGATTTATGTCAACATTCGCTTGCACTGGAAAACACTTTTAAAATACTTTGAACAAAGTAACTCAAGAAAAAGCTACTCAGCATTGGACAAATTTAATGATAATGCTCCTATTGTTTTTTCTGGACTATTGGATTCCATGTTGCGGAAGACAATTGTCTTTATCAAAAGTATCTATATTTAGTTAGCATGGCAACGATTTTCATGTAGAGATGTGTGAGTGCAGAATTGTGTGGATTATACGTGTGTTCGTTTAAGATGTATAGAGCTATTGATCTTGTTTGATCCGAGGCCMAACTTTGCAAAAAAAGGCTTTCAATTTAATATTTAAGGTGTCAGTGAACGTGTAACTCGTGRATCACAATCCATGAGTCGTAAATTAAGGTGCAATGCCATTTCAGTGTTGTGTTGTGATATTGTGTGCATCCAATAGATGTAGATTTTAGATTTTAGAATAGTTTTTACTATTGATGTGCCTGCGTGAAGAGTGTGCACGACATTTCCCCCATGGGGACAGGTGACAGTATAGACTTTTTAATGATTGTTACTTGGTACACCAGACGTTAGTTTTAGAATTAAGAAAGTGTTTTGAGTGGTTTGAATAGTTTTATTTTTGAAGTTTTCAATTCGGCATCAAATGAAATTTWAATCAAAGTAAAATATATCTAATTTCCTCCAGGATGACAGTAAGATTTTTCGCATTACTGTGATACCACTATCAAGCTACTATAAGCTAAGCTTTGATATGCGTGACCTACATGCTCTAGTACAAGTCGCCCCATGACATGGAATCCGGAATCAGAAATCCGAMAAGTTTGGCTATCAAATCGGTAATCCAGACACTTGGAATTTGGAATCCGCCGATGGAAACGGAATCCGATAGAAGAGAAGAATGCTTAATTCAAATCAGTGACTTAAAGATGTTTCCTGATTGTAAACGAGTCACTGACAAAAAAGCTAGTATGTTTTTTTTTAATTATGGTGGAGTCCAGATTCCGTATGAAATCTTTCATGGAATCTGGAATCCAGGAGCTTGGAGGCCGGAGTCCAGGAACGCTGCGGATTCCTTGTCATTGGGCTATACAATGCCGGACTTATAGTCAATAAAGTATACACTAGGCTTCTGCCCCTTGCAAGACTTTTCACTTTGTCAGCAAATAGGCTTGCAATTGGAAAAGTTCTGCCGATGAKAAATTTTTATTACGTTTTTAGAGTCAAAGCATTCGTACACCAAAGCAAAAATATATGCATCCTCGCCGTGCGAGTAAACCAACAAAACAATAAAAATCGAATAATTGATGAAAATATGATTTTGTAAGTAGAAAAAGCTGGGAGCAGTAGTGGTAGAGAAAAGAACTAGAATAAAATATGAACGAAAATGCATTAAGTCTCTGCTTGTTGATATTAACCTAGTTCAAGAGGATGGTATTTTTTTCTCGTTATTGGTAAACAACTCTTTCCTATCAATAACAATCTGAGTATCAGACAGCCCTCATTTCCCAAAGATATGATGGGGTTGTGGCTCCTTCCTGGCCACTTCCGTGGTGCGCATCTCTTCCCGTCAAGTCAGTTCTACTTCAAGCCTGTCAGCTCTCTCGAATAATTATAAGCTGGGAACTTGAGGCAGCTTTGATATCTTTATGTCTGTAAAGATAACAACGAAAACACCGTGTTCTTCGAAAAGATGGCAAATTTCTATCAGTTTTCATAATCAAGAAAAAATTGATTTTTTCGGTAATTGAAAGCTCTGGGAAGAAAGCTCCCAGCATTCTTTGCGCACAAGTACAGTGCTTTGCGCGCGAAGTTCGACTACAACAACAACAAGTTGCCATGTTCGACTTGTGAACTTTGTCCTWTCGCATTGTTTCACATAAAAATACGGATATTTTACAGCCGAGTAAAGAARAGCAAAGACTTATCATGCGAAGGTAAGCGTAGCATGCTATTTTTAACTTATTGCGATGTGTTCTGGGGCTTGCTTTGGTTTCGACAAGAGAATTTTCGAATAATGCACCCACTGCACGTGTATAGCCGCGGGGTTTTGGTTGACTCGAAACTGTGAAACAGCTGGTATACTAGCAGGTTTATGAATGGAAAGATGACCCTATTTTGYTGTGCAAACCTAAACTCTTTTTGTTAAGGCCAACACACGATACATTTGTCCTCTGAGTGACTTTTTGAAATCATAATTTGAGGCATGGCATTTTTAATTCAGTGTGAACAATTCCTCTGTCAAACTCGACCAAACTCTGACAAATTRTCAAAGTCAATTGTTGTTTACTAAGTTTTTTCTTTGCRCAAACCATCGATATTTCATTTTAAGTTTAATGTTTGCTTGTAGTAGAGGAGAGTCCGTATCTTTCCGACTGTGCAATAATAACAGGGTCATTTTAAACACTTGGCAAATTTACCCTGCTTGCGAGCAGAGGAATTCCTTAGAAGGGGATGGAAATATCTCACTACATTGTAGGGTAATACAAATTTGCAACGTGAGCAAAATTACGTTTAAGAAAAGTATTATTTATAAAACATAGAAAGATTTTCAATTTCTTATGTTTATGCTTTCTAGCTTTTCATAAAAAAACATGTTTGTACATGTGTTGTAGTGCTGAACCAGATAGAAGGGGGGTTCATAATCCAAACATGGGATGCTGTATTAAAGAATGAAGACAATGTACAATTCATGGAGGGCTGGCAAGTTTTCAACTGCATGGCTATCAAGAATCTCTTGTGACCAAGAGTTAATTTTCTATGGATTGGAGGTGAGWATACTCCTTGTTCAAGTACAACAGGGTCCGTGCAGGTCCTTAAATTCTTGAAAAGTGCTTCAATTGAAAACTCGTTTTTAAGGGCACTTGAAACTCCTTGAAAATTTGAAAATTTCGAAAAAAGTCCTTGAAAACTCCTTGAAAAAAGATAGATCTCTATCACAAAGCGCTAGCGATCTCTGAATTATTCAGTTCGGCTGAAATTGTGACGTAAGAATTAATGTACAATTAGCATGATTATGATGTTCCTTGAACATAAAATTTTGGTCCTTGAAAAGTCCTTAAATTTCGTTTTTGATACTCTGCACGGAMCCTGTACAAGGCGCATTTAAACAGCTGTTTTTCTATGACATGCATGTAACATATTTATTTGAGCAAAAATTAAGCCTTACTAGAAAATTTTACAAGAAAGCATGATTGAAAAATATTCTTCATTTTTACTCTGCGTCACACCAGCCATCTTGGAGGAACTTCAACAAAGGATTTCTCATTAGTATCTATTGTTCATTCCTCCAACATGGCTGCCGGTTTTTCATCTTTTGAATTTCATGGAAATGGTCGAAAATGATTAATTGTGAAAATGTGTCCATTTTTCTTCAAAAAACTATAATACTAAACCTGTATTCTAAAAAGACCTCATGCTTACAAATGTAGTTAAGGCTTTTGGAAATACAGGGTTACATGTAGCTTCAACTAAGAGCAAATGAAAATCTCAAATGAGAATTTTGGCAAAATAAAGCTCAGAGAATATTACAGCACATGTAAGCAGATAGAGCGGATTTCGTATTTCGTTTTTTTATTATATGAGTGGGACACCGTTACCGCACGGTTACCGCACAGTCACCGGACCTGGCCTTCACAATTTTAGTGAACCAATGGGGCACTAGAATTTGGTTACAGTACGATTACGGTACAGTACAGTACCGTCCGTTTCCCACTCATACGAAATCCGCTCTATGATTATAACTTACTGATAATATAATATGATAGGTTATTATTTATCATGATACAGTCATGATTAAGTTGATCAGACAACTCTTACAGACAATTCAGACAGACAATTCTTATTTTTATATATTACCTATTTGTTTGTATTTTTGTTTAACAAAAATTCAAAAGTATTACATGATTAGAAATAACCTATAACCTTGCAGTATGTTAACTTAGTTCTGTAAATCTTAAGTTAATTAACCTTTTAAACACTAACTAGTGGGACTTTCAAAAATTAATGCCATACATTTATTTTGAGTAATATTGAATTGATAAACTAATATTGTTTGATAAATTTGATAACACACTAAGTAGATATCCTGAAAATGAGAACATTTTGACTATTATACCCTCAGTCCATGATCTYTTAAGGACGACATGCATCTRAGATCCTTAATGGCCATTTGTTTTGTTTCAAGAAATAGTCTGTCATTTAAAGTTGCTCTCTGATTGGTTGATACTCACAATGACACATGATCCTTTAACGTTTTTAAATAATCAAAATCGTCGTATGAGATGATGCTACATTTGCTATCAATAACATGTTTCAGAGTTAACTTGTGATACTATACCTCCTCTTTTGAACTTTTCACATACATTTTCTGCAAACAACTATCTATAAGATTGACACCTCTTCAACAACTGTACTAGTTCTTGTACTTAATAGAAACTTTTTGCCTGCTGGACAGTTACACGTAAACCTCAACTGGTCTCAAGTCTGCATTGTATTAATAATTTTTTATGGTTCAAGTTTAGAAATGACAGTTAGGGGAGAAAAACATGATGGTCTATAAAACAATGAAAAAAATAATTTGACTTTTCTTTTTTCCTGTGTGATTTGGCTGTGTTTTCCCCACTTTTTTAAACCTGTAGTGTACTACTTTTTATTCTGTCAACAACTTAAGAGGCAACTGTGACCTTGACTCAGTACGTGAATAAGGTGTGGTCATATTTCGAAGAATTAGACAGGAAGCTCAACAATAGTAAAAGATTTAAAAGCAAGAGGGATGTCTACAKAAGGGGAACATGAGAACTATAAAAAAGGTATATTCACCTACRGATTTCTTTATATTAACAAAAAGTCTATTGAGTGTAACTACATTGTACTTCAGTTTGATAATCAGTCATGCTTTTTGCTAACTTCGCTGAGCTCTCCAGTCCTCTTCATACGCTGAATAACAACTTCTTTAGGAGTTTTATTTAAGTTGTATGCCCAGCCAAGTCTTGCGGCACAATGAATAAGGAAGGTGCTGATATTCAAGAAACCGAACTCACTTGTTGAGTAATCTTGGGGRAAAGTGTGGTGAAAGTTGTGATATCCTTCGCCAGTTGTGASYGAAACAACAAACCAGTTTTCCGATGGGTTTATGTTCACATCGTAAGGCTTGTTTCCAAACATGTGGGCAAAGCTATTGACAGTCCATGTGGTGTGAAGAAGGAAAACATAACGGAAGGCAAAAGCTGTGAAGTAAGAKAGCCACAGACTTTCACCCCAGAGATATGGGACAACTGTAGGGACAACCACGCAGAAGAATGTGGATAGAGTCTTGTAATACCTTAAGGAAAGAAATGCGTAAATTGATATTAATAACGAAATTAATTGATAAACATTGATAAATAAATGAATGAATAAACTAGCCATATAAATGAATATTATACAATAGAATTAATTATTTATTAATTATTATGTTTTCTTTTTATTGTAAATAATTTATATCCTTAATTTTATATTTTATATATTCTGTACAGCATATCTTACAAATGGATAATTATTATTGAAAAATAGCTGTAGACTAAAGCGTGGATTTCACTAGCGCATAAGCATAGGCACGAAGCACGAGAGTCATATACGCCAGTGAGAACGGGCTCAAAATAAGCATAAGCATGAGCACAAGAAAAACGAGCAAGGCTTGATCTTCTTGTGCTTATCTCATGCTTATGCTCAGTGAAAACGGGACTGCATAGGCACAAGCATAGCCTGGAAACGAAATAATACGCTCGTGCGCATGCTCAATGTCTTATGCTTATGTCGAGCCCGTTCTCACTGGCGCATATGATTCTCATGCTTGTCCTYATGCTATGCTTATGCGCTAGTGAAATCCACGCTTAAACAACTGACCTTCTTTGAAACATTACAAGCTCATCAGCATACAAGTCACTAAGGTCCAGTCCTTTTCCCTTGTTGATGACCTCTGGGTGTTTTCTTTGAAGTAACCAACCCATATGAGCRAAGAAAAACCCTCGCTTGGCATTATGGGGGTCTGCGTCAGTCTCAGAATACTTATGATGGACACGATGATCACGTGCCCATTCCAAAATATCATTCTGTGCTGCCATACAATTGCCAATCATAAGTATGAACCTGAGTTCCCACGTGGCCTTGAAGCTGCGATGTGCCCATAGTCGATGTGCACCAATTGTCACACCGGCACCAGCAAAGAAGTGAAGGAATACAATCCAAACCACTGTTAAAAGCTTGAGCTGGGGCAGTAGAAGCATCCCATATAAGGCCATTACATGGAACAGAATCATAAAAGCCACGTTTATCCAAACGATTTCCTGCTGTCTTGATTTGGTTGAGGTTTCGCCTGACYTTTCCTTCTTGGCTGGTAGATTTGGTTGAGGGATTTCTTTGGTGTCCAAATTAGGCGCCATTTTTTATGCTGTAGAATTATCAAACAGATTTTTTATTAATTATTATTGATTTAGATATTTAAGACTTTTTCAACTAAGGCACTATAGTGGTTTTCATTAATCCGTGAAGACCACTTTTGTACTACACCTTTTTACTCATTGTGTACGGTTCACTTTGTCTTTTTGGCTGCTGTTCACGCTTTGCTATTGCATTTTGTTTCACGGGATTATAAAAACCACTCGAATATTGTTGGAAAATCTTTACTGATACTATAAAATGCTAATCAATTATAATATACTTTAACAATTTGCTTTGTTATAGTGAGAAATTGATTGTTTAATATAAAAACGTTGATAATTTAGTGGAATTTTCTAAAACATCGAAAATTGCGTTTTTTCGTTGTTGGCAATCCCACTTCCACACGTGCACTTTGTTGACAGAAATGGACCTTCCCTTGAAATCGTGCGTTATTCTGTTATAATAAGGAATAATAAAGAATAAAGCACGCTTTTTGACCAATCACAGCGCTCGTATAAACGGAAGCATTGCTGCGTTAACACTAAACATGAAATACGTAGTTCACCATTATGTATTATCTATTTAGTAGTATTTATTTATATTATTGTTGCTAAGAGAGATACTTCGTGGTTGTAAATGCGATAAGCTAATAGTCTTGCGAAGTGTTGTTTCCTGACACAACGGCGAATTTYCGCGAAATCAAGAAGTTTGTGAAAATATGTCACCGTCACTGAAAGCCAAGTTTGAGGAATTTGCGATCGTAAAAATACGAGAGAATGCGACTCCGCAGATRGAGAAATTTTACAAATAAATGTACGTCAAGTTTGTGACCTCAAACACACGTAAATTCGTCAAATTTGGTTAAATACTCCAATTTCGAGTTCTGGTTTGCTCTGTGTTAGCCTCAAAACGAAGTAACATATTCTTTTGTTTCATTGATAGGCCGAGAAAACGCATGGAATTTGAAATGAAAGCAATAGAATTGATTTGAAATCTCACACTTTTATTCTCACAGTTAGGAACTATTTTGCGCACAAATGAGGCTTACACAGAGCATTGGAGAATTCGAAACTGGATTATTAAAGTGCTGTTCGAATTTTCATAGATTTTTCTCAGAACAGACTTAAAAACGTCTGCAAAGCACGTTTCACAACAATTAAGTGAGGTGTAAAGAAACACCCCAGGCTATCATAAATGGCCACTTACCAGTACATTTAAAAATAATACTCAGAGGATAGATATCGCAGCTAAAATTAGTTCTGAAAATTTCACAAAAAATATTAGTGCGCTTTCCATTTGTCAGAACTGGCTGGTCAGACCCAGAGAAAATGCCACTATATATCATTCCCATTTAGTTAGGAAATTCAAATTTTCAAATTCTATTCATTATTGTACAGAAAACATYGAAATGACTGAAAAATGTTGACAAAAAGCATTATATACCTCTAAATAGAGTGGACTGGCCGGCCAGTTCTGCCTAAATGGAAAGCACCCTTAAATTCTCTTGAAATTATAAGTGTTACAAATTGTAGAAAAATACCAAAACCAGGCTTCAAAGAAAGGAAAAGATATTATTCAATGCAAATCCTTGTATTTTCATTCCTGCATAACTTCGTTTGCATTTTTTCCACGATTTTCAAAACTTTTCCGCCACAAATACTTATTTCTTATAGATCTTCCATATGAACGTGCTAAACGTTTCCATGGTTTTGTGATTGTATGAAATCAATGCTAGCATTTTATGAAAGTAAACYGTACTAAATTAAACGCCTAACATTAACATTAAGGCCACAGAAAGTTTGACATGCACTTAAATTCTGAAGACCTGCTGCTTGTCAAAAAGGCAACCATTTTAGCTCTAGTTCTACCTCAGACGAAGAAACTGATATTTTGAAGAGCATTGTATACAAATCGTGCAAATTTGGACGATTGTTGGTTAATGGGCTAAACACCTCATTTACGCTTTGAAATTGCTATCATGTTGGGTCTTTATAGTGAAGAMRTCGAACATGTGAAGGGGCACGTGACAGCCCCGTTCTCTGCGTTTGAAATTCTTTTTACGAATGTGGTTTGCAACCTCAAGTGTGCGACCGACCGTAATGTTTTCTGATATTTTGGAGAACAGTCGCTAGAGGGTCTCAATGGGGTTAACCGTGAGACGTGAAACGGCTAAAAAATTAGCCGTGAATCGTAAAAATGAGAAAAAAATTAGCCGTGAGGCGTGAAAAAGTCAATTTTTCAGCCGCGAGTCGTGATGCGGACCCCCCCTTCCCCCATTGAGATCCTCTCGCTAGAGTTCGTTTTACAAAAAAAACCCAACAACAACAACAACAACAACAAAAAAACACGCCAAATTAGGATACGTGCGAACTCTATTTTTTGAAGAGGCAAAACGCCTGGGAATTTATTTAGACAGCTTCTAGATTATGTGCAATTTCTAAAGATTTCTTAAACTATATGTTCTGTTTTGATTTCGTCTTTCTGATTAATGCACAAATTGTGTAAGAAATCTAAAGAGCAATCATCCGAATAACAGTAAATCGGAAACAAGGCCTTCAAGTTCTAAAAACAACTATAATAAAAAAAAAACTATAGTTGACTTTCTGAACTTCCACTATCTCGTCATCGTTAAACTTATCAAACTCATTGAAACCTTTCCACTGTCATCCGGTATTGTGTCAGTAAAATACTTAAAACTTTGAATACCAAATATCAATGAATGTTATATAAGAAGGATTATTTATCATTGCTTAAAAACAACCCTTTGAATTCAATATTCAAGTATCCTAAGAGTTATTTTATGTCAAGGAAATTATTCTTACCTGAACTACAGGTTGCTATTATGCTATTACGTTAAAAGTAAAGACTTGTGTACAAACGTGCAGAGTTCTTGTTATGCATGAGCGTCTGCAGCAGCATCAATATTCATTCCCGGCATCAAGACTGAATATTATGTGGATAACCTTAAGGAGAATTTCAACTTTAATCAATAATGCATATTGTAGTCCTTTTCCATTAAATGCAAAAGGGTTTATAATGAACTACCATTTGTATATATTATTTATCTTTGTTGTTTTTCAATTGTTATTCTATAAAATCGCAAGTTTTCTAAGCATTTTATTATGAATTTATCGACGTACTTGAGTGTATATTCTCTCAATGTAAGCCTAGAGGTCTAMCTTATTCACGAAGCATGAATGGCGCGACTAACCTAAACCAATTACTGATGTTTTCAACGTCACGCTCGAGAGGAAAGTTTTAATGCAGCTCATATTATTTAAAATAGTTTTTGTGCTGCTGACATTATAAATATACACGAATTTTGCAATTTGCTTTGAGTCCACATTTTCACATAAATTAGTRACAGAGGTGCATAAAAATAGCAACTCTTTGATATGTCAGTTCAATGTCTTTCTAAATAAAGGAATACGACGATTTTGCAATTTTGATTTTGACAAGCTCAAATTTCCATCATATCTAATGGAAATGCAATKTATATTCATTGTAATTGTTCGTGCCCAGGCTCTACACTTCTCAGCTTTCCAGTCCTTTGCATTCTCTTTATAATGACATCTTTCGGTATTGTCTTCCTGTCATATGCCCAACCAATCCACGCAAAGAAATTGATAATCCTTGTTGTTACATTGGACTTTGTACCGAATTCGCTGGTCGAGTAGTCCTGGGGGAAAGTGTGATGRTAGTTATGGAAACCCTCGCCGCAGCTGAAAAACGTCACCAGGTTGTTCTCTGCTGGGTTGATATTGACGTCATAGGGTTTGTCACCAAACATGTGCGCAAAACTGTTAACGGACCACGTTGCGTGAAGAAGCCAGACGTAACGCGAGGCAAACGCTGTGAAATACGCAAGCCATAAACTTTCACCCCAGAGATATGGGACTGCTGTCGGAACGACGACGCACATTGTGAACGAAATGGTCTTGAAGTATCTGTGAAAGAAATGAAGCTGAGTTTGAATATTACAGACATATCTCGATATAACGAATACMTCCATATTATGGACACCTATATAACGGACACATCTTTATTGAGAACATTTCTATTTATAGTTTAAATCACGGGTAGCATTATATTAGAGAAACCTCTATATACACCCTTTTAATAAGTCCAGAGGTATTACGTTCTCCGCACTTGACGTCAAATTTATTCTTTTGAATTACTTTTGTATTGCAAAAATTTCAAAAGAGTAAATTTGACGTCAAGTGCGGAGAAAACAATGCCTCGGGACTTATTAAAAGGATGTATATTACGAATACATATTACGTACACCTCTATCCGTTACACCCGAGGCGGGGGACAGGGAGCCAGACACTAAGAACGGCGCTATCCGTTACACCTCTCAGTTTTACGGTTTATGGTATGTTCTTTTGCCCGCAATATAGGATAATATTCAGTTAAAGAAAATGATAACACTTAAAACAACGAACTGATGAAATAATATAATACAYTAAACTAAATATAAATTGTAAAACTGATATGAAGGCAATGAAATAATAATTGAAAAAAAATTATGATTAAGCTAAAATGTATATATAGAAAATAAGAGAAGTAGAGGGAAATGAATGAATGAACGAATAAAAGAATGAACAAACCTTCTCTGAAACATCACAATCTTATCTGCATACAAATCACTCAGGTCCAGTCCTTTTCCCTTAGTTATGACGTCAGGATGTTTCTTTTGAAGTAACCAACCCATGTGAGCGAAGAAAAAMCCGCGATTTGCATTATGGGGATCCGCATCTGTCTCAGCATATTTGTGATGCACGCGATGATCACGTGCCCATTCAAAAATGTCATTTTGTGCTGCCATACTATTTGCAAGCATCAGTATAAGCCTTAGAGGCCACATAGCTTTATAGCTACGATGTGCCCARAGYCTGTGAGCCCCCATGGTGACGCCAATCCCTCCGTATATATAGCAGAATAGYACCCATGTCATAGTTAGGAATTTCAATTTTGGCAGAAGAAGCATTCCATATACTCCCATGACATGGAGTATTATCATGAATATTACATTTGTCCATACTATTTTGACTTTGGTGGATTTCGTAGTGGATTGTGTTTCGTCTTTAATTTCGTCTTTCGTTTTCGTAATGGTGTCTCGCGCTACGCAGTTTTCCATGCTGCAACAAAAAATATATGAAACGATAAGAGTTAAGACATCATAAAATAGGCGAAAATTGGGAAACAAGGCGAAATAAGAAAAAWAAGCGAAATGAGTTCAAAAATGCGAAATGTGCTGTGGAATAATGAAAATGTGTAGGAGGAGTTCAATTAAAGCTACTGAAGTCTGGAGACTCTAAATACGATCGAGGATCATGGTTAGGTTTAGGGTTGATTTTTAAATAAAAAAATAAATAAAAAATTAACAACTATAAAAAAATAACAAATTAACAAAATAAAAAAAAACATAATAAAAAAACATAACAACTATATTTCAGTTGAAAAAAAGAAAGAAAGAAAAACGTTTTTCAACGTGCTCGTGTCGAGGATCCAACCTGGGATCCCGAGTTTGCTAAACTTCGACGTAATTAAGTCGCTGTATTCGCCCGGACACGGTATCATTGACTTGTGCATAAGCCGAATTATTTGACCACAGCCACCTGCCAAAAACGAGACTACAAATTGATATTTTTTGGCTTTGATGAAWTGATAAATTATTACCACATAAAAGGATGCTAAGCGTTTCGAAATTAGAATAAAAAGAAAAGTTTGGCAAGAGGGTCTGTTTATAGATTAACCTAAGATGAGAATTGCTCCATTAAAAGCAAGGTTGGTAGGCAAACGATTAAAAAAAGAAGAAAAAAATAAATAAAATAAAATAATAATAATAATAACAAATAATAATAATAAATGATACGGTAGCGTTCATTGACTCCATTGGATTCGCGGTGTCCCGTAAGCGTCGAATAATCTGCATTTCTTCGGTATTGAAAACTGTATGTTATACCTAGGGGTTTTGACAACTAGGACAACATGGGACAGGTCAAAACGAGAACAAACATATCCGCAAATTCTGTTACGGATACAATACGGAAACTTTTGCGCCCACACTTATTCGCATTCTGACCGTTTTCAGACATAATTACTATAAAGAGCATTTGAAAAATTTAAATKGCCGGAAATCGTAGCAAACTGAAATTTGTTGATATGCAAAATTATAATCTGTGGTATACCAAATGTTGTCAAAAATTTGTAAACAATACATACTTATGTCTCAACAAGGTTTATGCTCCGAAATGACTAGATTTAACTTCCATGCAAAAAATATAAATTAATCAATGGCCACATATACATTGTTCCCAATTTCCCGTTGTATTATTGAAGGGAATCATGTTTGATTAATATTGAGTTACGATCTTAAGCTCGTGTTGGCTTTTTTTCCGTGAGTATGGAATTGCATATTAATGAATTAAACTATCATGTGTTAATCTACACAAAAAGGTGTGAAAACAATTAAGTCAAGGGTTTTAAATTTAGCAATCAGTATCCCCYCCAACGTAGTTCAGTTGTATAGACATGATTCATGAATACGACAAAGACATTAGTGCATAAAAATATTTTTAAAAWTTCTCAGCAGGAGGGATTGAAATTTACAACTCCATAACAAATAGCGTTTTAAATATTATTGACATTGTGTTGTATTTTTGCAACTTTAKTTTGAATATTTTTGCAGTTGTCTCCTTGGCAGCCTACCTCGTTGTCAGGCTTCCTTGGATAGGAATCAAAAGGGGCTGCAAAGGAGACCATTCTTGTAAAGAATTTGAAAATACTATATATTTAAATGACTGCGTTGTTGTCCTTTACCACAGAGCAACGGCTTGTGATGGACTGTATGTTTATCTATTGTTAATGAAAACTGATGTACAGATTCCTTAAACTACATAAAAAGCTCAGCCGAAATAAAAAATCGATTTTGTCTGTTTTTATATACTGTGCAAGATTTCATAGTACGCAAGACGCTTCYTAAAATTAAATGACCACAAAAATATAAMATTACAACTCATTAAAATGCCATGCATTACATCAGAAAAAKTTGTAATAAAGAATAAAATCATGAAATACATTAGTAATGAAATTGTACAAAATTGCAAAATATTTCAAAATTCTAGTGAATTATGCAAATTGTCTACTGTACGCATATTRCGCTCGGTTGGTACTTTTTAATGCKTTTAGTGTTTGCTCTTGATAATGTAATKTATAGTAATTTTCAAGTACAAACGATTTAAAATATGCATACAAACAAGTGAATGAGAATGTGTGCTATTTTAGTCACACGCTACCTGAAAAACTAGTTTTCGACYATCAAGTCATTTCATAAAATTACCWTTCAAAGAAAATACAAACAAAAATATTTTCTTGATATATCAGTATTCGTAAAGAATGCTTCAATATATAAACTGAATTAAGATGACATGGATATCTYATGCAATGGCTTTCCATTTTAAAATGCATATCTAATAAGTTGTGTAGTATAACGACAAAGAAGATGCAATTCTGAGATGTCGACTCGAATTGAAATTAGCTTTTTCAAGTCTACTAAGAGAGTCTTATACTTTTTCAATTTAAAATCTTTGTTTCTTACCTTGTTTTGTTCACAGAGCGACGGACAGCTTTCTCATCGAGTATTAGAAGTTTCTGAGCTACACATATGTTTTCGCGCTAATTATATAAGCTGGTACCAGAGTCGGTCATTCAAGGTCACCGGAAGCCGTCGGRCAACAACACGTTTCAAGATTTTTAAACTTTTGTAGACTTATTCAGGTTAATTTGCCAATAAACCGAAGGAAAATCATTTATAAAATAMAAAATTGGGGTAAAAACGTCTAAAATGTTTCCTTTATTAGTGAAATATAGCGATTGATTGTTATGGCGCCTCTGATATAAACATAAATCTCCCAATATGTGAATCACATGGCGGGAAGCACGGTCTCAGCTCGGAAGATTTAACAGCCAATCAGAATCSATGAACTGAACCGGAAATTGTGGTACCACCTTCAAGGTTGCTCAAGGGCAGAATAGTAAAATGCTTCGCTAACTGAAAATTATATTCAGGGACATTGTCAACTTTGGCAATATTCCACAAAAACAAAATCACATGAAAGGACCTACGGGAATATCTGTCAGTCGAAACCTGTGTTTTGCTGTCAACACCCTTTTAGCATAAATGGCTAATAGCATATTTCTATATATATTATCAATGAAAAGCGAAGCAATTGTCAAAATATCTGCAAAATATTGTTTTGAAATTTTAAATTTGTACAAAGATTTGTGTAATATTGTAGTGATCTTGTTATAGTTATATTTCAATTTTTGTATTTTAAACTCTTAAATTTAGAACATTCTAATGTAACAWTATTGGTGTTTATGGAATAAATAAATAYACAATAATAAAKAGTAGAAAAACAAGTTGCAAGTTGTGTGCCTTTTTCTTCAATTCATTCTATTTATATAATAATAAATAGATAT